GGGACGCTGCCCAGGGCATCCTGGAGCTGATGGCAGAGAGCCACGGGTGGAGAGAGAGGAGGAAAACCACGAGAGGAACACGCTGCTGCAAGTTCTGTTCTTTCTCTGTCCCCCTCTGGAGGGCTCTGCTCTCCCTTTCCCTGGGCAGAGCTGTCCTTTTGCTGCTTTGCACTTTTTCTGCTCCACCTCTTGTGTGAGACAGCTGCAGGGAGGCTGCTGTGCATCCTGGCTTTTCTCAGGGTCAGCTTTTCTGTCTCACCTGCGCTGAAACCACAGCCCAGGGCAGCCCTTTCCCTAAAAGCTACACCCCAAAAATCCCACACCTTGGCCGGCTCTCCAACTACTAATATAATATATATATTACATAATATATAATATAAGAGGTACTGTCCATGCCTTGCTATTATAGATAATGGGAATATTAGAAAAATATCATTGGAAAATTCCTGGAGGATCACTGCAGAGGCAGCCTCTTCCACCCTGTGGGAATTCACTCTGTGGATGCAGAGCCCTTTCCCAAAGTGCTGCCTCTCCCTGCGTGCTGAGCCTGAGCTGCTGGATCCTCTGATCAGGTCTTAAATGTCATTTTTGATGTTTGTTGGTGGCATGCTCCGTTCCATTACAGAATGTACAATATTAATATCTTTATTTTTCTCCACACAGCCGCAGCATGAAGGAATATCCCATATTAATCCGCTAATTTAAATTTGAAATTAATAACTATCACAACACTTGGAGCATCCTTTAATCCATTGATTGCTGCTGGCTTGGTTCCAGCAGTGGCACTAATTACATTCTGCCTGAGAAAAAATTCTCATTGCTCGAGGCTTATTTTATTTCTGAGAGCTGCTGGCTGGAACTCTTGTGCCATCTCTGCAGCCTGGACACTTCTTTATGCTAATGGGGCTGTTCAAAATGACTGAACTGCTCTGCTGGCTGGAAGAAAAGCCCCTGGGCTTGCTGAGGGGAGAGCTCTGGGTGGCTGTTTGTGTGTGGGGTCCTGTGCCCTGGGGATGGGACACGAGGGACCCCCCAATCCTGGGGTTATCCCATAATTCTGAGGTTATCCCATAATTCTGGGGTTATCCCCCAATCCTGGGGTTATCCCCCAATCCTGGGGTTATCCCATAATTCTGAGGTTATCCCCCTTTTCCCAGGGTTATCCCCCAATCCTGGATCCCCCAATCCCGGGGTTATCCCATAATTCTGAGGTTATCCCATAATCCCGGGGTTATCCCCCAATCCCGGGGTTATCCCCCAATCCCGGGGTTATCCCCCAATCCCAGGGTTATCCCATAATTCTGAGGTTATCCCCCAATCCTGGATCCCCCAATCCCGGGGTTATCCCCCAATCCTGGATCCCCCAATCCCAGGGTTATCCCATAATTCTGAGGTTATCCCATAATCCCAGGGTTATTCCCCAATCCTGGATCCCCCAATCCTGGGGTTATCCCATAATTCTGAGGTTATCCCCCTTTTCCCAGGGTTATCCCCCTTTTCCCAGGGTCACGTTTGCCTCGGGCAGTTCCTCCATGCCCACCCCAGCCCCATCAGTTGCAGATTTGTTCCTCCAGCCTCTTGTGCTGGTCTGGCTAAAGGAGATTTCCAGGGGACTGGGAGCAAATTAAATCTGGTTTTAGCTCAGCCCATTTTCAGTCAGTGTATCCAGAGGACGTGGAATCAACTAAAAGCGGCTTTAGCTCCCCATTTTCAGGTGCTGTGGTGCCAGCACTGTCCCCAGGCTGGCTTTTGCTGTGTGACACATCTGGGGAGAGTGGGAGCTGCTGGAACTCGGGCTGGATGGAATTCCTGCTCCTCTTTACCTGCCCGCCTGCCTCTTGCTCCTTTCTCTTGTTCGATACATTGGGAATGTGTTTCCTCCTGGGATTTTAACTTGAGTCTTCTGAATCTCAGTGGAGAAAGGTGTCTGGAGTGGGGCAGCTGCTGAGAGAGCTTCTGAAGGCTCTGAGTGACCGCTCTGGGATTTCCTGAGCAGCCCTGGGTGTCTCTCAGCAGTGCTGCATCAAAAGCTGCCAGTGTCTGTCCAAAATGGAAAAGAAGAGGTTAATGAAGGATTAGGTCCTTAATCTGTGCCAGGAGTGAAAGAAATGTTGACTTTTTTCCTTTGTCACATGCTAGAAAAAGCCACAAAGGACAAGCATGAGGATTTTCAGCTCTCAGAGCCTTCCCTTAAGCACGGTGCCCTGGCTTTCCTTTCAGCCGAAGCACCGGCCCCAGGAGCAGGGGATGACACAGAAATGCTCCCATCTCCTGGAAATGAAGAGCTCAGGTGCTGGTAAAACTCTTGGCTGGCTTTTTATCCTAAATTGTGTTACAATTCCAGAGTCAGGTCTGTGTTTCAGGCTTGTTCCCTCCTGGCTGGGGTGTGACACAAGCCCTGCGTGGCACAGCCGAGGCTGTGCAGGATGCGTTCAGTTCTGGGTTCCTCTGAGGAGGGCGGGAGCTGTGTCTTAATTGTCCCCAGGCTGAGCCCTGAGAAGCTAATGAGTGCAAGAAGCAATTCTTCTGGCTTCCTTGGTTGGAATTAGCTGTGTGGTGCTTTGAGAACTCAAAGATTAAAGGGTTCTGGTTATTGCAGTACTCATCTGCTTTTTTACCTTTTTCTTTACGGGTTCAATCAAACTGGACTCAGCTTCTTTTCCAGGCTCCTGCCTGAAGGTTCTGAGCTGTGCTGAGCACAGCAAGAGGTGAGCACGGTGCCTGTGCTGCTCTTAGAGGCTGGAGAGGAGCTGGAGAGAGCAGGACGGTGGTGATGGGAGAAGCATCCTTGTCCCCGGAGCAGCAGGGACCTCTTGTGGGGCCACTGGGGCCACTGGGGACACTGGGGACACTGGGGACACTGGGGACACTGGGACTGGGAGTGAGAGGCTGTTTCTCCCTCTGTGAGAGTGGGAGAGGCAGGATTCTCTCGGCTCAGACATGAGAAACAAAGAGCTATAAATGGTGCAGAGGCTTTCCTTCCTCCCAGCCTGTGCCTGCAGCTGGGATGTGAGACAGGGGCTGAGCAGAAACCCAGGCTCTCCTCCCTGGCCAACCCAGAGCTGGGCTTTGAGCATTTCAGGGGAGTAAAACAGAGCCAGAGCAGAACTTCTGCTCATCTGCTTTTCCCATGGAGTGTCTTCATCTGTGATAAAAGCCTCTCACTGATGTGGCACTAGATCCAGGAGAGCAGCAGGCGCTGTGAAGGCTCTGTCTGTGATATGCAGAGGTGCTGTGGGGTCTCAGCAACTAATCATCACTAAAAAGCCCCAAGGCATATGACCAGGTTCCCAGTTAATGGAGAACTCTGCCTCAGCCCAGCTTCCTACCCAGCTGCAAAGGCAAAGTAAAAACTTCTTGTTGAAGCCATTAAAAAAAAAAAAATTAAAAGGTTATATCAGTACATTCTGTCTCCCAGTGGAGGTAAATTTATGTAGTTACAGCTCACCCAGTGCTTTATAAGATGCAGAGTGCAGCCTGTGTGTCAGAAAGCTCTTTTAGTAGTTGGTGGGGTGAATTCCAGTCATTAAAAAAGATTTTCTGTGTCTTTTTACCAAATACCATGTTGCTTTATCTCCCTGTGCTGTAGAAAGCATGTGAAGGTGAAATTCTGAAAGGAGAATTTTCATTGTGTGCGTTGCTGTACGACAAGCGACTTCCTTAGGTTTTTATTGCTGAGCTACAGACAATGCTGCCTTTGAACTGAGATGTGTCTTTGGGCAGTTTCCAAATATTTCTGTTCTCTGGGCAACTGCAGATTCCTTGGGGCTGGAGGAGGGATGTGTGTTCAGGCAGAGCCAGCTGCTGCCCTGGCCTGCAGTGAGGAGGGGACAGCATCAGGTGACAGGAGTGCCACAGAGAGCCTGGGGGTGTGAGAAAATGGAAAGTGATGGGAATCCTTTGGAAGATTCGTTTGCCTTTTGCTGCTCAGTTTTGAAGCACAGACTGCGAGTATGCCCCGCTGTCGAGTGGTGACTTCTGTGTGCAAACTTCCCACACTCTGATGTTAGAAAACAGGGAGAGAGCCAGCAGAAAATCCTCTGCCTGTCCTATTTCTGATTGTTAAGGCAAAGATCCATTTCTCAGGTTTTATTTCAGTGATTTATGATGACCTGAGAAGCCATTTCTTTTAGAACTGAGAAGAAAGGAATATCTGATTCACAGCCACGAGTCGGTGGAAATGCAAGTTCTGGGTTTATCTCGATTCTCTATCTGGCAAGAGTTTAAATTAACTGTGTTGTGGAGCCACCTCCATCACTGAGGATAAGAGCAGCAGCCAGCAGGCAGGGTGTTCTCTGCCGGGGTTTGTCTGCAGGTCTCGGAGAGGTGCCGGGAAAAGGGAAAGCAGGGAACGAGGAGGAAGCCAAGAATGTGTAAAAGCAACAACTGGGAATGCAGCCTTGACAAAGCTTTGTCTCGTGGGGGTTTTTTTGCGGGGCCAGATGGTAGCTAAAGAAAGCCTGCAATAACAATAAGGTTTAAAAGCTGTCGGTGTCAGGTTGTGTGCAGGGGAAATGCAAGTTGCTATGAAGAACATGCAGAAAGCATCACGCTCCAAAATAAATTGCTAAAGATGTAAAGAAGTTTCACCGAGTGGTATTTAGGGTACATGGAGAGAAGATCCTGTTTCCAAAGGAAGCAGCTCGTGTATAAATGTGTGAATCCCTGAGCTCGGCTCAGCAGGGAGGGGAGCTGTGCGCATCCTTGGGGATGGAGGTGGCGATAGGAGAGGAAAGGATTCCACAGCAATCCAGGAGTTTATTCCCGTCCCGCTCCCTCCTGTCCCGCTGCTCTCGGCGGCCTGGGCGGGATTTTTCATTGAAAGAACAAAAAACAGAAAAGGGTTTTCTGGGCTGTGGGGCCGCGGTGGGAGCGGCTCCCGGTCCCGGTCCCGATCCCAGTCCCGGTCTTTATCTCGATCCCGGTCCCAATCCCTGTCCCTATCCCGATCCCTGTCCCTATCCCAGTCCCTGTCCCGATCCCGATCCCGGTCCCAGTCCATGTCCCGATCCCGGTCCCTGTCCCGATCCCTGTCCCGGTGCCGGTGCCGGTCCCTATCCCTGTCCCTATCCCTGTCCCGGTGCCGGTGCCGGTCCCTGTCCCGGTCCCTATCCCTGTCCCTGTCCCTGTCCCTGTCCCGGTCCCTGTCCCGGTCCCTGTCCCGATCCCTATCCCTGTCCCTGTCCCGGTCCCTGTCCCGGTCCCTGTCCCGGTCCCTATCCCTGTCNCGGCTGGCGGAGCGCGGGGCGGTGCTGGTGTCCTGCTGTCTGTCCTGTGCGGGCTCCGTGCTGCTGCTGTGCTCGCAGGCTCGCTGGCCGGAGCTGCGGACGCGGCCCCGGCAGCTGCTGCTGCAGCTGTCCCTGGCTGACCTGCTCTCGGCCCTGTCCTACTTCTACGGGGTGCTGCGGGACTTCGAGCGCAGCTCGTGGGACTGCGTCCTGCAGGGCGCCCTGTCCACCTTCGCCAACACCAGCTCCTTCTTCTGGACCATGGCCATCGCCCTCTACCTGTACCTGAGCATCGTCAGGGGCTCGCCCGCGGGCGAGGCTTTGCTCTGGTGCTTCCACGCCGTGAGGTGGGTGCTGAGAGCTGCCGGGACCCCCGGGCACCCCCAGCCCTCCCCGCCCGAGGCTCTGTGCTCTCCTCCTCCTTCCCCTCGGATTCCTTGTAAACGGCGTTTTGTTGTCTTTTAACGACCCTGCTTGTTCTCCCTTCCCCTTCCCGAGTGAAGAGTTGGAGACGTGGAAAAGTTAAAGGTTTCTTGTTCAAGGTCGCTTAGGAAAATCTCTGTCAAGTTCTAATGACTGGAAATCCCGGCTTCTGCCTTTCCTCCAGTCTGCTCTGATGTTCCAGAATAACAAACCTCGTGTCTGTGGCGCCTGCCTGCTGCTGCCCAAGCGTTTGGGATCTGTTCCCACGGGTGCCCAGCTTCCCCTGCCAGCCTGGTCCGTGCATCCTGCCCCTCTGCCCAGGCAGCATCCCGTAATTCCCGGCAGGAGAGCGCTGTCCACGAGTGATGAAACTGCTGGGGAAGCGCTCTGAAGGTTGCTTTGGCGTGTTTGATTGAAAGCAAGACAGACCAGAGCACGGTGTAGCTTTATGTCTGCTTCTGCTATTTAGGGCACTGATTTTCCACATCATGTTTAGTAAAAGCTTTCATTATGCAATTGGAGCTTGTGGAATCATGTGCTGAGAAAACAGTGATCCTTTAGTCCCCCGTGGTGCCAAGCTTTTGCAATAAATTATAAGAGGAGTGATCTGGTTTAAAAGTGGGGGAAAAAAGCCCTCAGGACAAGTAGAGAATTTTCTTTGGTTTCTTAGTCCAATATTTGTCACCTTTTAGTTTCAAACAGCATCGTTTGGCAGATGATTGCAGTAGAGCTGAGTGCAGGTGAGGATGGGCCAGAGACACTTTGAGAACTCCAGTTCCTGCCCTACCTGCTGGAATTGCTGAGAGAAGATGCACTGGAGGAGTATTTATGTTATTTCATCTCAAGTAAATAGAGTTGTAGTCAGAGCTGTGGTGAGGACAGGGTGCTGGTAAAGAACATGTTGCTTAATGGATATAAAAACCCAGCCTGACTCCTTCGTGGCCATTCTGGTTCCACCAGGCACATCAAAGCACTCAGGCAAATCTGGCCTATTTGTAATTTTCCCAACTGCTAATTGCCTGTGTGGCTTTTCCTGTACTTCATTTTCTCCAGCTGGTTTAATGCTCCTCAGCCTGGTCAGCCACCAGGAGAGGAGAGCAACAGAGCCACTGAAACAGCGCTGGCTGCGATCTGTGCTCCCTCTAAAAACTGTAAAAATCCTGGGAGATTGCTCCTTGGCACAGAGGGAGAGGTGCTCAAACTGAGCTGCTTCTGGCTCAATTTGTTTGGTTTCTTTTCGGTTCTTTACAATAAAAATGAAACCACATCTTGGTATTCATCAGCACCATTTGCTCTTTTTAAAGGCTGTAGAGCACCTGTGAGCAGGTTCTGCTTTGTAAATGCCTCCTGTTCTGTGCAGGGCCAGTTTAAAGCTGCTTCTGCTTTATGATCTGTCTGAAAAGCCAGAGAAAACAAGTGAGGACGTGTTCTCTGCCCATCCCCTCGTGACACATCACCCTGCTTTCCTTCCCTGCACTTGTGGAGTTACCTGAGAAATTAATCTCTGGACATAATGCTTGGAGATGGAGCTGACTAAATACATGTTGGGAGTCGGTATCCGGAATTTTCCTGAGGGAAATCAGGGTGTCCCAGGGGATGAAACCCGTCAGACAGGTTTGTGCCAGGGATTCCTGTGGTAACACATCACCAGTTCCAGCCTGGAGAGCTGCAGCCTCTGCTTTGCTTTGAAACCTGTTCAGCTCAGAGGAGCTTTGAAGAGAAGCAGCTCTGGAAACTCTTGGCTAGCTGGAACACGTGAGTTGTGGCATCAGAACCCACCTTGGGATCGTTTCCTGCTCGGCTTTTGGTACCAATTGCTGACATTTGAAGGGTTTTCATTTCATGATTAGGCTGTGCAGATATTATAACCATAAATACACTTTCTTTTAAAAAAACATCTATAACATATGCATGCTTACATATTAAATTTTGTCATATATTAAATTATATTATATTTTATATACAAATGTACATATATACATTTATAACCATGCATAAATATTCATGTCCATGGAGTGCCTGGGTCCTTTCATGCACTGCTGCTCTGTTCACCTCACTGCTTCATGGGCTGCCTCCTGCATGGTTGAACTGGGTTCAGCCATGTTCAATCAGTTCAATCAATTCAATCAATCAATTCCATTCAATCATGGTTTCAATCAATTGAACTGGGCCAGATTTGGAGTTCTGGTTACGATGTGTGCTCACTGCTCCTTCCTGGAGCCCGATTTTCTCTCCTTACAGGGCACAAATTGCTGTCCCCAGAAGGAGCTGTGTGCAGCCCTGCTGGCTGCAGGCTCCTTGTCCAGCCTGTGCAGGCAGGTGACAGCAAATCCCTGCTTGTGAGAGCCCCAGGGGGAGCAGCAGCTGTGAGCAGAAATCAAAATGTGCTTATCCACAACTCTGACCCCAGAAAACGGGGGCAGGTCGAGCTGAACGCTGCTGGAGCTCCTCACCCTGCTTTGTTTGGTGTGACTGCAAAGATCTGCTGGGTTGGATGATTTTTTTATTCACAGCTGACCAGGAGCTGTATTGGAGGAATGAGTACTGTTGTTCTGTCTTACAGGTTGGATTTCCAGCCTTTTTACAGGAAGGAGGAATCATCTTCCCTTCTCTCACTGTTTGCAAAGTGTGCTTTGGAGAGGCCCAGCTGACACGAGGGTTCTTTGGGGCTCAGAGGAGTATTTCTGCTTCTCTGTTATCTTGGATCCTTTTTATTGCAGTCCTTACACTCACCTGGGGTGCTGAGTCCTGATCTGCAGTTCCTCCTCTCCCCTGGCTCAGCACTGGCACTTGGCAGCCCTCCTGACTCTGTCACTTAGGAGCTCTGAAGAAGAACCAAAGCACCAGTCTCGGTTCTCCTTTCCAGCCTGCTGAGATGGAGCTGAAATTCACAGAAATGTCTGATTCCTTCCTAGCTCCTTCCTAATTTCACTTTGTTGGTAATCCCTTTGCTTGGTGTTGGTGGTAAATATCCACCTGATCCCAGAATGCTATTCCAGTGCTAATTCACTTCCCCTTAATGCTGCACTTTTCTCCCACTCTCTCCCTTTCACCAGTTATCTCCTGAAGGTTTTGAAGTCCCTTTCTTAGTGGTGAGTTATTTCCTCCTGTGGCCTCTCTGTGTCTGTACTTACACTGTCCTGTCTGACATCCACAGAAGTCATTTGACCTGCCTTTATCTTAATTCTCTTTCAGCTCGATGATGACATCGCTATTTAGGCAAATTATTCACTTAATTCACTTCCTTTTTGTTGGTGCCTTTGTGCCTTAAAATGGTTTTTCTAAGGAAGTGAATTTCTCTTGAATGCTTTCCCTCGGTGCTCAGCTCTCCCAAGGGTGCTGAGAGTGGAATGTCTTTGCATTTGCAGAGTTCTTTCTGAAAATTCACCGGGTTTACCAGAGTGACTCCTGGATTGTGTGGAAACTTTCTTGGTGGTGGTGACGTTTGGGATGTTTTTAGAAGTCTGCTCTGATAACAGAGTGGGGAGGGCTCCCTGCAGCACAGCTGTCCTTAAATAACACCACTGCCTTGGATTAGCACTGCTTGTTCTGAGCTGAGCCCTGAAACAAAATGTTCTCAACTCTGAAGAGTTGACTCTCAGGTTTTTTACAGCCCTGTATTTATATTTGTTTCTTTTGTTAGTAGCTGAATCTTAAATAATGATTTAAGAGTAGGTAATGGGGTATTTTTGAAATCCAGTATCATGGGATTGTCTCTGATTGGGCTATGGAGTTTCAGATAAAATTTTGCCTACCTAGTCTGGTGTCTCTGAATTTTGGGGGCAAGATCCTTTCCATGCTCCTGCAGCTGCTCCAGGCTGTCAGTGAAGGCTGTTTGAGAGCAGGACACTCATGGATCTGTTTTCTGTGTGCTGGGGAGGGCAGGAGGGTTGTGCTGTGTGAGCCCCTGTCCCTGTCTCAGGGGTGGCTGTGGGAGGGCAGGTGACACATTCAGCTCCATGCAGGGCACTCTGCTGCTGTCATTTTTGTTTGGGCTGCTGGGATTCTTCTGTTCTTCCTCATGGTTTCTTGTGGGCAGCCCAAGCTGCTGAGTGATTTAATTCGGTGTGTCACCACAGTTATTTTTCCTCTAAATGCTTCCCTGTATTTGCCTCTGCTGTCAAGTGAGAAGCCAAAGCCACAGGTCCAAGTTATGTGAATGTGGCTCCTCTTTTCTTTCTCAGCTTTTTGCTGGTACTAACAGTAATTTTCCCTGACTCTTTGTCCTTCAGAAATTATATTGTTGCTCCCAAAATATTGACTACACCTCCACTTAAAAGCAAAGTAAAGCAAACAAACAAAAAGGCACTGATAGAATGAAGTTGTGGATTTCTCTGTGTGCCGAGTTTCACTTTGGAATCAGGAGGTGGGACTTGGCTGCTTGTGCTCTGAAGGCTCAGCATCAGCTGGCTGGGTCCTGCAGGAAAATCCCATTTTACAATGCCCTGGCCTTGTCAAATCCTCAACCTGCTGGTGTCCAGGAGGGAACAGGAGAAGGGCAGGAGGTGGGCTGGGTCCTGCTGCCCTGGCTGCCCCCCGAGCTGTGCAGCCCTGTCACTGCTGGACACAAAATGATTCACACAGACCCAGCTCGAGGTGTGGTGAAAGAAGAAGAGTTTATTTGTTCTTTCAGTGTTTGTAGGTTTCTGACCAGGACCAGGGATTGGATAGTCAGGTCACCACCTTCCCAACCACACTGGCTGTGAGAGATGTTCATCACAAGGCATATCTTTAATGGAATGGATAAACTCCTGTGTTTATAGTTACTCCTGGGAAAATGGTCAGAAATGATGGAAACCGTATCGAAAGGGCTGATTCTCAGGGCAGCTCAGAGTGCAGCACATCCCTGACCTCTGCCCTCAGGGCTGGGCTCCACATTCCCACAGTGGGTCCCTGGAAGGTGGATTTGCAGTCCTGGGTCGTTCAGTGCCCAACACCTTTTGGTCACTTCTCCTCAGCTGCAGCTCCGGGATGAACGCTGGATTCCTGCCTGGGGGAGATCCCCTGGCTCTGCCACCCATCTCCTGAGGTGTGGGGGGCTCAGCTGAGGATGTTCTTGGCTTAACCTCCTTCTCTGTGTCCCCCCAGCTGGGGTGTCCCCCTGGCCATCACGGTGGCCGCTGTGGCTCTGAAGAAGATCGGCTACGACGCCTCCAACGTTTCCGTGGGCTGGTGCTGGGTGGACCTGGACGCGGAGGATCGGCTCCTGTGGATGCTGCTGACGGGGAAGGTGTGGGAGATCCTGGCCTATGTGACCCTGCCAGTGCTCTACATCCTCATCAGGAAGCACATTAACAGAGCAGTGAGTATTTGCTGCTGGCTCCATCCCCCGTGCTCTGCGTTCCTCGCTGCTCAGCAGCTGCACAGGCAGGGGATGCTCCAGGGCTCTGGAGTGTCCCCAGCCCCGGGAGAGGCAGTGCCCTGATCCAGCACACAGTGACTTAGCACGGGCAGAATGTAAAAGCCCTTTGAAAAGGAGCAGGGCTTGTGGGATGTTCATCAGGGAAATGCTACAGTCAGAATTGAAACGGAATGTGAAGGACAAATCCAGCTTTAATCAGTTTTCTGCAGTTCCACTTGTACCGAGATTGGAATTCTCCAACCTCATTCCTTTCAGTGTCTCCAATGGCAGTTTGTGTTTATGGGTGTTACTCTGTACTGGCAGCTCACAGCTCCATTTGGGAATCCAGGCACGGGATGGCTTTGGGCACCACACAGGAGATTCCCTGTCCTAGCAGGGCTTTGGGATTCAGAGCTTCAGGGGTTGCTGTTCCTTGTGAACACAGGGAATCCATTTGGACAGCATTTGCATAACAAATCCAGATGAGAGTGGCAGGAGGAGCTGCATGCAGAGAGTGCTCTTCTCTCTGAGCTGTGTTAGGGAAAGGAGCCCCACCTGTGGGTTATTTCCTTCTGGAACTTTCTGCCTCTGCTCCTGCTGCAGCTGTGGCTGCGCTGGGGACAAACACAGCCCTGCTCAGGGCAAGGGCCTGCAGATGATTTGGGATAAGGAGGCACTTTCCAGAGGGAAGGGAAGGGAAGGGAAGGGAAGGGAAGGGAAGGGAAG